AACAGACTGTTCAAAAACAAATATCTGAGCTAAATTTCAATTAGTTAAATCATAAAATAATATAACAACTTCACTAATGCAATGGAACTAATTACGAAATCTAAATCAATGTAATATCTTCACACAGATATTCAGCAATAGAACAGGGATAAATGAGAAGTTACCGGAGGGAAGCTTGCGGAAACTACCGAAGAAGTGAATTGACAAGGAAGCTGACCCGAGACAAGTTGCACCGGGCACTATCTAGCAAGGTTGTTTGCACGGTGACGTTTCTGGACTATGAGTACGCGATAGAGAACAGTAGCACACAACGGAGGTAGAGGAACAGCGACGTTGGCGACGGAAAAAAAGCAGAGACGGGCAGCTGAGACAGCCGAAAATTTCTGGGATCCTCCTCTGATGAAGAAGCAATGGGAACCTACCCGTCTCCACTCGGCCTCTCCCAATCCACCGATGAGTTGCTTCTTTCTACTGAGGAAAGAAAAATGTTTTCAGATAGAGTATTTTGGAAACTCTAATTTGAAAGTATGCTCTCGATCTCTTCCCCTACTTATAGATATTAGGGTTATGTAGAACCAAATCAGACTGAAAAATTCGATTCAAACCAAATTGATTGGGGAAGACCGGTTCATCTCAACCAGTTATGTTCCCCAATTCGATTAAGTACGTTTGGTTAGTACGTTAATCCATACGGTTCCGGCACGGCCACACTCACCCTCTCTCTCCGAGTCGAACCACACAAGACAGAAAGAAGCTCTCTCACGCCTCTCTGCACCAGCAACCTCTCTTGACACCTGTTAAGAGTGATTCAAACCGAAGAAAATTTGAATTTTCATTTACTTGAATTTTCATTCATCAAATCTCCTCCAAACATTAATTCGTACTAATTACATAATATTAAAAAAATAAAATATATATTAAATTTAATTAAAAAATAAATTTACATTTAAATTATTATTTAAAAAAATAAAAAAGAAATAAAGATAAAAGTCAGTTTTTCTAACAGTAGTTGCCTCTGTAAATATTAGCTCTTGTATTTTTCCATTAGCTTCTTGAAAATTACATGAATTAGTTAGTAAATAAATAAAAACCCAAATTCATTAATCTTTTAGGTTGTAACTAATTTGATTTATTACAAGTAAATTTTCAGTTAATAATCAAACCGACTGTAAGTCCTAATATCAAGGAGCAGGATCTATCTAGGACAGCTGAAACAGGGCAGCACTTGTTACCCTGTTTAAGGAAATGTATTTCTCTGAATTATGTTTGACAGGTCTACCCATGCAAAGGGAAGTTGTATTTCATATTGGCCTTCTCAGAAAACATATATGTGTGTATAAGTAACTAATCCAAAAACTAAGGCTCTGTAATCAAGTTCCTTTTTTTTTTTTCTTTGCATCACTTCCCTTTTCCCCAATAAAACATAAGAAAATAGGGGAAATGACCTCAATCAAATCATTTTTAGTGAACAAATTTGAGAATTGGTAACATATATAATACCCAAGATATGAATACTCATCCAAACGCAGAAACAAATCCAAGAAAACCAGATGTAAGTGAAAGCACAAAGAAAAATTAGCAAGTGTCATTAACCAATATAAAAGATAAATAACAGAAACTTCACAACTCTAATTTGATACCTTCAAGTTTTTGTTCAGCCACTGGCATTTGCATCTACTTGTTTTGATGATAGATTGAAAAAGTCATTTGGGATCTATTTCTACCTATTTTTTTGATGGATTTCAAGCTTGAACCAAAAGAACTTCTATCAAACAAAATTTTTAATTAAACTTAGACAAATACCACACGTTCCATACTAGCACAACTACTCTGGCCTCACAACCTACGACAAAACAATTACCAGATCATGAAGTGGAACAACTTTCACTTCAATTTCCTGAAGTTTAAGTCCAACTGTACTGACGGGTAAGGAAACAATTTGAAACCAAGCAGCCAACAAGTTCTATGATTTCTGAAATTTATATGAAATGAAGAAGAGCAAGTGGAAGGAAAATTACCTAGTTGCATGTCGAGAAGCCGATAGCAAAGAAAGAAGCTAGGGTGGATATGGTGGGCGTTTGTATTTCGCTTATAAATACCTCGAACAAGAAAGCTATGATGGAAAGCCGGGGGGGGGGGTCTAATGGAGAAGATTTGGTGGTAATCTCTTAATACATGATTTAGGTCTACAAATACCGAGATCACAGACCTCACAACTAGGATAATCAGTCAGATATCTTCGAGCCTGTTCACCATTAGTGAGCAGACTCTTTCCGCAAGACCATCCAGGAGGAAATGTCAGATTTTTTGAGTGATATATATATATATATATATATATATGTTTGTGTTGATAAGATTTTTTTCAAAAAAAAAACTTCATGCAGGAAGTGTTTTCACAAGAGGGCATAAAAAATTTATTTCTTGTACCTCAATTTGTAAATCTATATGTATTGTTTTCACTACATGATAACAATTGAATATGAAGTTTTTGTTACTTACAAGCTGTTAAGCTCATAAATTATTTCTTTTATTTTTTTAAACTCTAAACAGAAAATTCATGCATAGAGAAATTGGGAATTGCAATCATAAGAGTTTAATATCAAATATCTATCTACTCTTTTTTAGGATTTTTTATGTACTTTTTAACACTCAAATTATTAATGTATTTATTTGCCTATCTTAATTCTATTTATTATAATCTCACTAGGTTATTAATTATTTTTAATTTTAATTTATTGTCGATTTAGTGTTATATTTGTGTCTATCATAGTTAACATTACATATTCATATATTTTTCTCACGAATATGTAACACTATGACGTATGTAACACTCATGTTACGGCGTTATAATTGAATGTTACGAGAGTTTAGGTTACATTGATAGAGAAAAAGAACTAGGTAGAAATTAGAAAACTGGGACATGACATTCTTTTTGTGTACGTTAATGACACTTATTTAATGTGTTTTGTATCGTATAATTGATTGTATCATATATTCATGAACTAGAATATCTTCTTGAAGTGATCATAGTTTAAATGAAGTCACTAGAGATGAATCACAATGTTAAGAGATCATAGGGCTAAGATAATTTATTGTGAAAAGCAAAATATATCCAACATGTCTTATGTTTTTTATTGGAGAGCTATAAGTGAATTTTCGGAGAATTAAAATTATGTAAAAGAGTTTAGTGTCAGCAAAACAGTGAGAGCATGAAATAGAGAGAGAGTTTTTCTTAGTCGTGTTAAAACTGAGAAAGAAAACTTGTAAAATTTATTTTTCTACTATCCTTCAAATGATCAATGGAAGCTTTTAAGGTATGTTGTCTTATTAAATTTGTTTAATTTAGTTCCAATAAGACATGCTACTGATTAGGTTAAACATAGTACACGTATATGGTCTACGTGAAGTTTAATTATTTGGATATATATATATATATCTGCTTTTGGGCGTAATTTGTTTGGATATGATTTAGTCATTATCATATTTATCTGAACTAATGTTTTTGATGAATGAGATTAACTACTTAAATTAATGTTGGTATAGAGCATATTATGCATGTGAAATAAAAGCACCTCTAGTAAAAAA